AAAAATTGAAACTGTAAATTAAAAATAAGTAAAAAATAATTAACGTAAATATCATATAAAAACAAAAATATTGGGTTATAAGTCCCGAACTATTAAATTTTATTTTATACATAAATTTTTTAAGAATTATTTGTTGGTAAACTTTAGGAATATTTTTTCCCCATAATATTTTTTAATTTTAATAATTCAACTAGTTAAACATATGGTTTGATATTTTTTAACACGCTACTATTCCATTTAGCTATCATAAATATATAATTTGTTTCACTATATTTATTGCTAAAAATATATTAATTGGTAATTGTGATCATCGCTCTAATATAGCATGATACAAGTATTAGTAGCAAGGTGTGTGTTTTTATATGTGTGTTGGTCAGCCAACCTGACATGTGTGATGATAATGGTTTTGGCGGTGACGGCATCGCACTCTAGTATCACGTATTTGCGGTCATTGGTTGAGTTGAACTCAATGTCGCGCAGGTATTCGTTGGCCTCCGAGCTGTTTCTGAATCGCTTGACCGCCCGGAGCTCTAGCGTCCGGTTTTGGTCGACCAATGAGAACAGGTGTTGCAGTTTCAGGAGTCCTTCAATATGAACATGGTCACGTAAAAATTATAATTTTATTGATTGTTAAAGTGTTAATTAATATCGGTTAATTATTGTAATTTTTAAAATATTTGTACATGGTAATTTATCATAAGACATGTTTAGGACCATTAATAATATTTTTAATACTATAATAACTAGGCACTTTATTAATTATATAATTACAGTTTATATACTGTACAATGCACTGTAAAAATATTTTCAGTATAAGGGACATTATTTTAATAATTTTAAATATTCTACAAAATTTTAAATTATTAAACTAGCTACTTTTATAATTAGTATAAATTTAAATAACTAATCTAAAAATATAGATAAATAATTAAGCGATAAAATAATTACCCCGCATAAATAAATTAATTAGCAAGACAAAAGCCAAACAAAATTAATTCCTAATTCCTCTACTCAAGAATATTCTGTTTACCGATAATAATACTATTAATGACATCTAATAAGTCTTATAAGGCAAACACTGGACCCAACAGTATATTTCAATCACTTATAAGTTATAACAACCCTAATACCCAGCACTACCAGTCCTATCAAAAATAAGCTACCAGTGCTGCTAGAGAGCACACACACGTAGCCATAACCCACACACACGTAAAAGCAATAGCAATACAATTATTCCGTATAGAATTGCACATAGAGTTGGCAATAAAGTAAATGCAATTCTAATACACAATACGGCTATTGTTAGGCTGAATAAAAATAAGTGAGACTTTTATACCTTATATATATTATTAGATTTTATTGCTTAACATATTTTATTTCACTCTCTCCCTTTCTCCCTGACCCTATATCAATGGCACCGGTAGGTTGGCTGATGAACACAGTGGCACTTATCACCAGTAAATCAATCCCATTCCGGTTATATGTGCTATTGTGCCGTTAATATACCTCCCATTCCCTTGAAATTTTGTTGCGAAAAATTGGATGCATTTTACAATTTTATTCAAAGCATGCGATGATATATTTGTTGCCACTTCTGGCGCTATGGTATGAATAATACATACCAGTGCTCTCTCTCTCTCTCTCTCTCTCTCTCGCTCTCTTACAGAAAACAAAAAATAACCACAAAATTGAGTGCAAAAAACACAGCAAAATAAATCCAATCCGGAAACCAGAATATTCTGTATGTGTTTCGAGTGCCTCAGAGTCTCAACATTTGTGTACGTACTTTTTTAATGTCCCCATAAATCTCTCTCTCTCTCTCTCTCTGACATTTAACACCTGATTGTTTTAACCCTTAAATCCTATAAATTTATAATTTTTGATTCGCAGAAAAATATTGTGCAATATTTTCTATTATTTAAAATTTATATTACATTTCTAGGTTTGTAATTTATATCTACAGTATAAATAGTATAAAATATAAAATTATCAATAATAAAATATTAAAATTATTCACTGAATAATACAAATTATTTTATAATATTAAAATTAGTATTCATCAAGGATAGTTTAAAATATTTCCACAATTTATACCCCATACAATCTTATTGAATATTTAACATTTGCCTAATTTTTATTCAATTAAAAAGTTTACAGTTTTCAACATGAAAATAAACTAAACTAAACTTTTTATATTTTATAAATACCATTCACCATGTTAGTTTGATAAATACGTTCAGGTAAACACACTTATATCCCACTATAATCTCTCCTATACTTTGCCATCTATTCAATCATTTTTAGCTTTCAAAACATTATTTCGTCGAATGATTTATAAATACATTTCTGAAGTCTATTTCCTAAAGAAAGCTACGATTTATTGAATACAAAAAATACAAACAATTATTCAATACCACTGGCATTGCAAATAGAAAACATGACATCCCCTTCACCCTACAACCATACCATTCAATAATACATTTTGTTAGGTACAGAATATTCTGGTCACCGAACATATGCTTTGTCTATACGTTTATACACATACAGTGAGAATATAGAATATTCTTTATATACTGTGTGTTGAGACTCTGAGGCACTCGAAAAACATACAGAATATTCTGGTTTCCGGATTGGATTTATTTTGTTGTGTTTTTTGCACTCAATTTTGTGGTTTATTTTTTGTATTCTGTAAGAGAGAGAGAGAGAGAGAGAGAGAGAGAGAGATTTATGGGGACATTAAAAAAGTACGTACACAACATTCGGTTAAAAAGTTTGCCATAGTACATATTTATCATAAAACGTTGATTGATGTTAATTTCATAGCCCCTGCGTACATACTTAGTGAACGACCCTATACATATAAAAATATAAATCTGTATTATAAATAGACTTCCACTCAATTCTGGCCACAAAACGATATTATCTCGTATTTTATAGACTAAACTCCACTTCAACTTCTGGTTTACTATTTTTTTTGCGCTACTATTATATCATTTGATTTATGATTTTGAAACACAAAACAACATAAAATACTTACATTTTTCTCATTTTTTGTATCCCTTTCTATCGCTAATATATTTTTCTCTTATCTCTTATCTTTCAATAATGATATTAAATATAATATCTATTTTTATTAACCCACTACAAATGGGTAGTAGTCTCTCTCTCTCTCTCTCTCTCTCTCTCTCTCTCTCTCTCTGGTATGTGGTTATAGCTAATAATTAATTACATAGATCATTTCAAAGGTTTAAGAGTGTTTATTAAATGAAAACAAATTCTTATATTTAGGAACTGTAATGTAATAATAAAATAAAATTTAATAGCTTATATTAATATTACAATTCAACATTATGGCCTAACGGATTCATCAACATGTTATTTATCAATATATTAAGTGTTTATTTTACTGATTTCTATTAAAATATTATGTAATTTGATTTTATTTAAAATTAAACATGTAATGTAAATGTTAATAAAAATGTAAACACTAACTGTAAACTATTAATTTAGAGTAATTCAACGTTTTAATAGTGCAAGGTTGGTTAAAAATATGGTAGTGATAATATGGATCGTATATTTTTATTATGCTTATGTTAAATATATTTATTTTAATTTAATTTAAAACTATGATAGATATATTTATAAACACTCAAGTCAAATAAAATACATGTCGTATTATAAACATAAAAATAAACTAATAACTATAAAAATGTAATATACTAATTTAACTGACTACTACCTACTTTATAATAAATTTTAAAATTTCACATTATGAGTGACCAAACAAAATGTAACCTTTATTATACTTTTTTAATCATGAGCAATTATAATTGTTTTAACTTTATGTTATATTCATTTATTTAAAATTATATTATACAATGGTTACGATATAAAATTTTAGTAAATTAACTATCATGTTTATAAAAAATGTATACAAACTGTAATTGATTAAATGATGGTATATTAGCATGTTTATAATACCAAATTGCTTAATAACCTTGGATAGTACTAACTTTCTATTTTTCCAAACCTATTAACATTAATATCAAATAAAACTCAATGAATATAAAATTTATGACCACCCTAGTCAAATAAAATACTAGTCTCATTATAAACATAGAAAATATTTTCAATTTCCGGACTAATATTTTCCATCATAACTTATACAGTAATATATTTTTCTCGTTTAATACACCAAAACGTAAGTAAATATTATTTTTCTCATATATTTTGGACGAAATATATTTTTGAGTGCAAAAGTCATTGCATGTCGTAATCATAACTGACTTTATTTGTGTGTTTTTCTTATCCTAAATAAACGGTTTGTAACCGAAAATAATAAATAATTTTTGGCCTCATTTACCATAAGTTTACTAATATTCGTAATAATCATTGAAAATGATATACAATTTGCAAAAATATAAACAGTTTTTATTTTAGATATACATTATATTAGCCAAAAATATTAAATATTAAAATATATGTTATAAATATTAATAATAGGAATACGTTTTAAGACATATGATAATAATGTTGAATTTTATGTAAATTTATTACTATTATTCTCAAAAATATTTATCAAGTTTATATGGGCTATAAAAAATTTTCAACATTTCTGAAAATAAAAATATAAAAATTTTATTTAACGTAGCTAGCAAAAAATCTATTTTCGGTTTTATAGTTGGTATAAAACTTGAAGTTTTTAAATGCCATACGCTTTTGGGCTTTTATTTTCATTTAACTCCACTCTTGATATCAATTACTTTTTTATCAGTGTTTTCAACATTTTGATGGATGAGATATGTATTATATATGAGATATGAATATAACGTTTTACGGCTTACGGATTCGCTCCTCAGCTCTCTCTCTCTCTCTCTCTCTCTCTCTCTCTC